CCGGCAGGCGCTGTTAATTGGCCGCCCAGAAGCTGACGTGTGCAGTCAATTGACCACCCAGTAGCTGCGGTTAACCGCAGCTTAATTGACTATTACTGGGTGGCCGCGGTTACACTTAGCAGCCGCTAGGTGGTGGTGTTATGGAACTCCCCAAACGGCCAGCGGTGCTCAGCCCGGAATGAGTGCACTAAAAGCAGACACTTTTACGTGCAGGCACCGCTGAGCCTCCAGCCTTCCCTGCTTCTATTCGTGGCTATTTAACCGAACACCTGATCATTCGGGACTTTGTTTTATGTGAATGCTTGACCCAGATAGCACAGCCATGGAGCCTATTCATGTAATTAGAGACTTTGGCTCCATGGCAATTGAACTGTGTGTATAGGATCTGAACGCTATTCGGTACAACTGTGCGCTCAGATCCCAGCTATCTGGGGATGGGTTACATGTATATATTTTATGTGATAAAGGTAACATTATGTATTTTATTGTATTTTAGTGTTTTATTATAACCACATGTGTAATGGAGTTTTGCCTCTGTCCTGGGAGATAATTGGATTACTTCCCAATTATCTCCAGGAAATGCTAGCAGAATGCTTGGTTGTATAGGGAGAGGTATTAGCAGTAGAAAGAAGGAAGTGCTCATGCCATCGTACAGAACACTGGTGAGACCTACTGGAGACCGTATCTTCAGAAGGATATTGATACCTTAGAGAGGGTTCAGAGAAGGGCTACTAAACTGGTTCATGGATTGCGGGATAAAACTTACCATGAAAGATTAAAGGATCTTAACATGTATAGCTTGGAGGAACGACGAGACAGGGGGGATATGATAGAAACATTTAAATATATAAAGGGAATCATCACAGTATAGGTGGAGACTATATTTAAAAGAAGAAAAACTACCACAACAAGAGGACATAGTCTTAAACAAAGGTTTAAAAATAATATCAGGAAGTATTACTTTACTGAGAGGGTAGTGGATACATGGAATAGCCTTCCAGCTGAAGTGGTAGAGGTTAATACATTAAAGGAGTTTAAGCATGCGTGGGATAGGCATAAGGCTATCCTAAGTATAAGATAAGGCTAGGGACTAATGAAAGTATTTAGAAAATTGGGCAGATTAGATGGGCCGAATGGTTCTTATCTGCCATCACATTCTATGTTTCTATGTCCGGAACTCGGGTGCTGGAGTGATGTCTGTTTGCCGGGACAACCCATCCGCATTGCCATTCTGCTTACCGGGTCTATAACTGATGGTAAAATTGTAAGGTTGTAGGGCCAGACTCCACCGTAGCAACCTGCCATTGTCTCCTGAGACCCAGTTAAGCCAGACCAATGGGTTGTGGTCAGTAATAAGAGAAAATTCCTGCCCGTACAGATAAGGGGTTAACTTTTTTAGTGCCCAGACCAGGGCTAGACACTCTTTCTCCACTGCCGCATAACTTACTTCCCTAGGTAGTGGTTTCCTGCTTAAGTATGGGACAGGGTGCTCTCCTCCATCCTCCCTGACTTGGCTCAGCACGGCCCCAAGTCCATGCATGGAAGCATCTGTATGAACAAAAAAAAAAAGTGTGTTAGGGAGTGTGTTAGAGCCTGCTTTAGTGCCTGGAACGCGGCTTCACAAGCAGGAGATCACAGGACCTGCTTAGGTAAGTTTTTCTTAGTCAGGTTAGTCAGGGACTTAGCTATGGTGCTGTAATCGGGGACAAAATGTCTATAATACCTTGACGTCCCCAAGAAGGCTAGTACCTGGGTCTTAGTGATAGGTGTGGGCCAGTTAGCCACTCACTCTACCATGGCTCTCTCTGGTCTCTGGTTCCCACACCCCACTCTGTGACCTAGGTATTGCACTTCAGCCATGCCTAGATGGCATTTCTCTGGCTTCAAGGTCAGGCCAGCAGCCCGAATCTTGTATCAAATGCTCCTCCCAAGACCCACTGTAGATTGCAGTGTCGTCCAGATATGCACAAGCAAATTCCTGGAAGCCATCGAGTAGTCTATCCACCATACGCTGAAAGGTAGCTGGGGCATTATTCATCCCGAATTGCATGACCCTAAATTGGTACAGGCCAAACGGGGTGACGGAGGCCAACTTGGGGATAGCATCCTCGGCCAGGGGAATCTGCCAGTAGCCCTTACACAGGTCTATGGTAGTCAGATAGTCTCCCTTAGCGATCCGATCTAGTAATTCGTCTACCCAGGGCATCGGGTAGGCGTCAGTGGTGGTCTTCTCATTGAGTCACCTGTAGTCCACACAGAACCGGGTAGTCCCATCTTTCTTGGGTACCAGGACTACAGGCGAGGCCCAAGCCTGTTTCTTTTTCCGCAGGGCTTAACCTATCCCCTAGCTGTACAAGGCTCGTCAAGTCAGTCTAGGTGTCCCTTGCCAGTAAGTCAGGTAAAGGTAACCCCTCAGAGTCATCTGCAGCCGGGGCACACACTGCAGCGACATCCTCCTGTCTCTCCTGATCCTCTTTCAGCATGTTCACATGAAAGAATCGCTGGATCCTTTCATCTGTACAGCTTGCAACGACATAGGTATTGTCACATACCTGGGCTACTACCTTGTACTCCCAACCTGGAAGACCCGCTGCCGGGCACCCCGATCATACCACCTCTTCTGTCTCCCCTGGGCCGTCTGAAGGTTCTCTCTTACCATCAGAGACAGTTCTTCCAGGCGGTCCCTGAGTTCCAGAACATATGGCACGATGGGGGTCCCTTCCTGCTCTGTCTCTCCCTCCCAGTGTCCCCTAACGAGATCTAGGGGTCCGCGGACCCTTCTCCCATAGAGTAACTCGCAGAAGGAGAACCCAGTAGATTCCTAGGGCACCTCTCTGTAAGCAAATAACAGATGAGGCAGGAATCGCTCCCAGTCTCTGCAAGCATCAGTAAAGATCCTCAGCATCTGCTTTAGGGTCCCGTTAAAGCGCTCATAGAGACCGTTAGTCTGTGGGTGGTAAGGTGAACTAAGCAGCGGTTTAATGTCGCACACCTTCCACAACTGCTGGGTGAGCACAGCGGTAAACTGGGTTGTGGACCCACAATGTCAACGGCTATGCGGAAAAAGGGCTCCCCAATTATAGGTTTATACATAAGCCTAGCTTTTTGGTGGTCCCCCCGCTTTCCTACCCGTTGACATGTGTCACACGTCGTACAATATTGTCGGACAGCCTGGTTAAAATTTGGCCAGAAGAAGTTGTGAGTAATCCTATGTCCTGTGCGACGGGACCCTAGCTGCCCGGCAAATGGCACATCATGCCCAATTCGCAGAATCTCTAGCTGGTATTTCTGGAGCACCACCAGCTGGCATTTCTGTGAAGGGGCTTTACTTTTCTGGGACGGCTTAGGGACCCTATATATTCTATCCCCTACCCACTCATAGCGCTCTCCGTCTACTCCCTCTTCCCCGGAATCTGCCTTAGCCCTATACTTGGATAAAGTTGGGTCCTCCTGGGTTTCTCTCCCAAAGGTCTTGGGTGTATCCCAACCTATGAACATGTCTAGAGCCCACCCCCCAGTCCATGTGGACCCGGGCCTCAGGTAGCCTAAACACGGTACCTCCGGCTACCCGTACGGCCACGGTGTCCCCGGTGTGCTGATTTTCTGGGACGAGGTCCTCCTGCAACAGTGTCATAGTAGCACCGGTGTCTCTCAATCCCCTGTGACCCAGTGGACGGCCGTGCAGTTGATACGGCATGCCCACTCGGTATATGAATCCCCACTCAATTTGTTAGTGTCCCTGAACCTCCGCCTGTACGCCTCTGGGGTGACAGCATACCTGGCTAAGAGGGCTTCTTTCACGGCTGGGTAGCTGGTAATCTCCCCGTCTGGGATGGCTCGGAAGGCTTCGCTTGCCCGGTCGGATAGTTTCCCAGAGAGAATAGTGACCCACTCCTCTGTGGGTACCTGATGTAGGGCATACTGTCTTTCAAAGTCTGCCAGGTACCCATCGATCTCCCCCTCAGCTTCCACAAAGGTTTTAAATGCAGCGAAGTGTACCTTTATCTTCCCCTGGTTGTTAGGAACCTCTGCTGCTGCAGCACCTCTTTGCTGGAGTGCCTGGTTCGCCATCATGGCTGCTTGGACCCGCTCAAAAATATGCGGTGTATGATTGGGGCCAAAGTGTGCCAGCCTGATCAGGACTGCCCAGTTGAAGCTTATTTCCTCGGGTGTCAGGTCCATAATGCTGGGCACGTTAGCTTCTTGTGCTCTGTCCATCTCGAGCAGCTGTGCAATAATCTCTCTTTTTCTTAAGTTGCTTGCTGGTCGTCCTCTGTGTTCCAATATATCCTTGAGAGTGGCACGTTTCAGTCTCTCATAAGGTAGTTCCATCCGTCTGAGTTGTGTAGCTGACCTTTTGGGCTGTGAGAACCATCCCGTCGCTTGCCACCAATTGCATAAAAGGGTTAAACCGCCGTTTAGTAGATCTTCCCTTCCAGAGACACAGGCACAGCTAAGCAGAACACCAAACTCCCGAACTGAATACAAGGTAATGCTCCAAACTCCCGAACTGCATACAAGGGAATGCTCCAAACACCCGAACTGCATACAAAGTAGCACTCCAAACTTCCGAACTGGAACCTCACGAATAGCTGCTAGCAGACAAACAGGAAAAGCACCCAAGCGGCTTACACTCCTGGCAATCAGTCTCTAACAGCATACAGTAAATCCCCCCAAAGACGAGACGGAGCTCCGTGTTGAGGGTCAAGCAGTGGTCTGGTTTATTGAGGGCTACCTGCCCAGTATTTATGCAGGTCTCCCACCTGGTGGACACTCCCTTAGGGGACCAGTTGGAAGACTGTAACACAGACAGACATGTATCACATTCAGACACACAGAAGTAAAACATCCCCACAATGCATCCTAATTTCCCTCCCTCTATCCTGGAGATAATTGGGAAGTAATCCAATTATCTCCCAGGACAGAGGCAAAACTCCATTATACACGTGGGGACACAAAGACAGTAAAATACATTAAAACATAGATTACATTTTTTACACCAATTCCATACATGTCACATATCCCCAGATAGCTTAGATCTGAGCGCACATAACTACTGAATAGCGCTCACATCACACACATACAGTTCAATTGCCATGGAGCCAAAGTCTTTAATTACACGAATAAGCTCCATGGCATAGCTATCTGGGTTAAAACATTCACTTAAGTAAAGTCCAGATCAATCCAGCGTTCATTTAAACAACCGAAATAGAAGCAGGGAAGGCTGGAGGCTCAGCGGTGCCTGCACGTAAAAGTATCCGCTTTTAGTGCACTGATTCTGGGCTGAGCACCGCTGGCCGTCCGGAGAGCTCCATAACACCGCCACTGGGTGGCGGCTAAGTGTAACCGCGGCCACCCAGTAACAGTCAATTAAGCTGCGGTTAACCGCAGCTACTAGGCGGTCAATTGACGGCACATGCTAGCTGCAGGGAGATCAATTGGAGGCACACGCCAGCTTCCTGGTGGTCATGCCTTTGTGTGGCTTTCGGTTGTTTAACAGGGGAACACATAGGGACTGTACAGGCAGGAAAATAAACCGAACAAACAGACGAATGGAGGGAAAATAATTGTAATCAGTATACAGACAGTTCTGTTACAGGAGATGTAGTCCAAAACATCTGGAGTGGTGGAGTGGTGAAGGTTGCCTACCCCTGGCCTAGGGACACCTCCCATAGCCACTCCTCAGATGGTTTCTAGAGGTGATTCCTGGGCAGTACTTCACACTGTTCAACACTGATATTCAGTGTCTTCACCCTCTGCATGGAGACATTGAACTTTCCTCATAGAGATGTATTGATTCTGTGAGGAGATGCTGATTGGCAAGGGTGGCATTTTGGCTCAACCCTCAGCCCACCTCCTTGGCTGAAGTAATCAGAATTGACTATGGGAAAGCATTGTGATGGGTTGAGATCATCACTTCTGATTATGTCAGTCAAGGAGACAGATCTGGAGCAGCACCTGCAAACTGAAATAAAGGTAAGATTTTACTATAGTTAAGATCACATAACTATTTGTAGTTAAATGCCTTACACACTGATTTTTTTTTTTTTTTTGCTTAGTGAATAACTCTATCAGTCTGGATTTAAGGTTTGCAAAAGAAAAGCTGACAGTTCTGCCTATCACCAAATAAGTATGGTACTAATGTTTAGCAATTACCATGCAGTTTGTTCAGTGAATGTCCCTTCTGAGATCTGGAAATGTAGCATTTAGTATAGGTTATGCATACACATGGATTCACAAGCTTAAGGATTATGGGAACTTTCATATATTGCATTCTGATGGAATTCAGATGATTGGTGCCCTTAAAAACAAGATAGGACAATTCAGGGTGTTAATTGAACAGTATATTAATCCCTTCCAGCAATTTGCTGCTTATACCATGAATACTGATTTACCTCATCTAATGTGGGTATTTAATTTAAGTATATGGCAACATAGTTGCTCCTTTTTCATCTTAGGTTCCAGTGTAAAATTCTATGCACATATTTATATGTTGGTGATAAACCATTGTCCTGTTCAATACTACATTGTTTGTTTTTTACTTTAATTATTTCTAAGTAGTAACACAACTTGTATCTATGTAATTGATAGTGTAACAATTAACAAGAACACTTCATATTCAGCATTTTAAATTCAATGATGCCGCCTCCTGAGCTGTGAACTATTTTTGAAATTCGAAAGGTATGATATATATTTTATATGTAAAATACCATTATTCTGTCTTGTAATCTTTGTAGTAAAACTTCATCAATAACATCCTGTCTGTCTATCTGTCTGTTACATGATATTTTATTTATTAAACTTAATAAACGTTACGTTTTAATTCACTACAGATATCATGTTACTTCATACTCCCTTCCTTGTTAGAATGTACTAAGAAACACTTGTTTTTTTTGGTTTGTTCTAATCTTTCAGTTAGGGATTATCTCTCTTCCTCTGTTTTTTCAATAGAATTGTATGTTTGCTCAACTTTCGGATTTCTTGTAGATAATAAGATTTATATTCATTTTTACAGCATACATTATTGTGAACTGTATTTGTTTTGCCTAGAAAAATCGAAAGGCATATTATATATATTAAAAACTCAGCAATAACATTATGTCTGTGTGTCTATCTTTCCGTTTCATACTTATCTAATATCAGTAATTTTATTAAAGACATGGAGGCTCCTATTATGCATATCTCTTTCTGTATTACTCTCAGCAGCAAAGAAATAGAGATAAATAAATAACTGAAAGAACAAAAAAATACAGTGTTCAAGTAACCAATCACATAACAGAGGAAGTGACTATAAAATACTTGAAGCACCCACAATCCCCCTCTTTCTTTGCTGCTCTCAGACCAGTTAAGTACATCACTTTTTCTGCTCTGGGTTGTTATTGGTATTTTCCCTGTACTGTATTTACATGTTTTTTTGATATTTTATATGTCTGCTCCTAGTTATTGTATGTCTTGTTAGGAGCCTGTGTTTTTATTCGTTTTCCTACCCCTGTGGTGTGCTCTCCCGGGGGGGGCTGTCGCGGCCGCGTTAGGCAGTGCCGCCTCCCGCCCCCTCCCATCCCGGCCGCGTTCTGCGGCTAGCCGCGGGGCTTTCCCCTGTCTCGGGGGATTTGTCTAGTTATACACCGGCGAGCCTCCGCTTACCAAGGCGGCGGCTCCCGGGTGTGTGTGCAGGTCGGGCCGCGCTGTGGTTACGCGTGCGCCCCCTCCCCCACCCCCGGCTACCCTTCTCCCTCTTGCGGCGGCCATCTTGCGTCCGTCGGTCCCACTCCCCTGCCGGTTGCCTCTCATCCCCTGAGGATGTGCTGGGCAGTTGTTTTTACACCACTGTGGGGTAGGAATTGTTATTTTATATTTATATATTTATATTTATATATTTATATCTATTTATTTCAGTTTGAGTTGATTTACCTTACTTTGTTTTTCTTTTAATTTCCAATGTGCTTATGTTTCTTTTCTGTTTTTTCTTGTGGCTATCTTTAGCCCTGTCCTGTTTCCTGTCCCTTTTGGGTTATTAAACCCTAATCCTGTCCCTGTCAATTTTTTCCTGTATACTTATCTGCCATTTTTTCGTTTTGATTTCAGATCTGATTGTCATATTTTTACATCCCCTGTTTAACCCTTTCCTGTAGTCATGCAGGATAAGGGTGATGGTCCTGAGGGCCGCGTTACTGACTTCCATCAGGAGCTGCCTGAGGGTCAGGCCATTTCTGAGGAGTTCCAGGCTCTGATGGACTCCACCATGGCGTCCTCTCTCCAGAGAGCGCTCGCCTCTGCTATGGGGGCTATGTCCTCCTCCTTTTCCCAGACTCTAGCGCAGTCTCTTTTGCTGCCCCAGGTGGCTAATCCTGCCCTACTGGGTACGGACCCTACTCCTATCCCTGCCCCACCTGGTGCCCGTAAGGCCAAGCATCTCTCCTCCCACTCCATGACGCAGGTTTTACCTGCCTTGACGGACTCGCCTGAGGCAGTCACAGATGGCGCACTCCCACCGCGCAAAAGAGCCTCTGGTCGGGCAAAAACGGCCAGGTTATGGAAACGGGCTAGATCCCGTGAAGAAAGGTCAGAGAGCGACCGGAGTGAGGAGGAGGAGTATGAGGAACTAGACTATGCTTCTGATGAAGAAGCCGGCTCGGAGGAGGGAGCTCCCCCTGCCGTAGCACCCCGTACTGGGGGCGCTTTCCCTGCTGGGGGTGTTGCTGCCCAGGGGGCGAGTGGCGATGCGGGGATTCTGGATCCGCAGGGTAACCCCCTGTTTGATCCGGATGAGTTGCGCCATCCTCGTTCCGCTGAGTGGGAACCCCCTGAGCATATCGCCCGATATATCGCACTTAGGATGCGTACGCCACTCACTGGGAAGAGTCGCAGTAAGCTACGGACTGAATGTCCTAGACCTTCGGTCCCAGGATCGGCGTGTAAGACGCCAGAGGTCGATCCTCAGATTGCCCAGTTCCTCAACAAATCAGGCTGGAAGCAAAAGAAGGGCCTTGACTTTTCCCTGAGACATTGTCAGGACAAGATTATGGACACCATTGGCCCTCTGTCTAAGGCCTATGAAGTTTTGGAAGCCGCCAAGGCGGGTGACGTGGAGCTTGATATTGATGTAGCGATCGGTTGGGTGCAACGTGCCATTTGCCTGCTAGGCAATGCTAACATGGCCGTCTCCGCTGAACGCAGGAAGGCAATCCTGCTTAAGATTGATCCTAAGTTGGCTACCATGGCCATCTCCGAACCTGGTCCCTCGGCTGAAGGGATGCTCTTTGGAGATAATTTCGTAAGAGACCTGGGGTCTTATGTTAAAACCTTCACAGCCATTGATAAGGCCCAGGCTAATATGAAGAGGGTGTTTTCCCCTAGAGTTTTTGGAGGGGCCGGGCGCAACAGGAGCCGTCCACCCGGCCGTGGTTTCCGGGGTTCGTATCGAGCCCAGCGAGGCTCCTTTTTCAATACCAGGAACTTCCAAGAGCCCAGACCGGCTCCGTTCTTCCCATCCAGAGGGAGGACCTGGAATTCCCGCTACCCGAGAGGTGCCTCATCAGGCAGACGCCCTTATGGTGAGTACCCCTTTTGTCCATCATACACAAGAGCGGGTGGCGGGCAGATTGGCCCAGTTTTACGAGGCGTGGGTGGCCCTGACAGCAGATGCTTGGGTTCTTCAAACAGTGAAGGGTTACCACATAGATTTTGTGTCTTTTCCTGTTCAAACGTTTGTCCCCAGGGAACTCTCGCTAGCTCGAGAGCAGGAAGAATTGATCTCTTTGGAGATCGTGGAACTACGCACCAAAGGTGCAATACAAGAGGTTCCGTTTACTCAACAGGGCTTTACAAGCAACCTGTTTCTAGTCCCGAAGAAAGGTGGGGGTGTGCGTCCGGTCATCAACCTCCGCCCTCTCAATGCTTTTCTCCAGTATCGTCATTTCCAGATGGAGGGCATCCATTGCCTTCGAGACCTCCTTCAGGAGTCCGACTGGTTGGCCAAACTAGACCTCAAAGACGCCTATTTTACGGTGCCTATAACCTCGGCCCACAGAGATTTCCTCCATTTCACCTGGAAGGGAAAGCGCTGGAAGTTTATTTTGTCTGCCATTCGGTCTCTCCTCGGCCCCCTGGTGCTTCACCAAGGTCATGAAACCGGTGGTATCCTTCCTCCGGAGTCGTGGAGTACGTCTGATCATCTATTTGGATGACATCTTGCTGATGGCCCAGTCAAAAGAATTACTGACGATTCATGTATCGTGGACTACGTCCTTACTCCAGAACCTAGGTTTTCTCATCAATTGGGAGAAGTCGGTATTAGACCCCACCCCCAATCGATAGAATTTCTGGGGTTTACAGTGGACTCCGTCCAACAATTCCTGTTCCTTCCGGAGTCCAAGATGAAGGCGATCAAGAAGGAGATCAGACGTACACTGCGTGCAGACGACATCTCTATCCGACATATGGCGAGGGTAATCGGCCTCTTGGCCGCCTCGATACAAGCAATTTTCCCTGGCCCTCTCCATTACCGGGCCCTTCAATGCTTAAAAGGCTCTCAACTACGTGCCGGACACTCTTACGAACAGAGAGTGAGACTCGACGACGAGTCCAGTGACGAGCTGACCTGGTGGCTGGCCCACATGGACGCCTGGAACGGGAGAGCCATATTCGGTTCTGTCCCGGACATCGTGATAGAGTCAGATGCCAGCTTACACGGCTGGGGCACGTGTTGTGGTGCCGCATCTACCGGAGGCAGATGGTCGAATCAGGAGCGAACACTCCATATCAACTGTCTGTAGCTATTGGCAGGTGCATTCGCTATTCGCAGCCTCACGCCAGAACGGGCGAATTGTTGCGTGATGCTCAAGATGGACAATGTGTCAGCGGTCCGATACATCAATCACCTGGGAGGCACGAAATCGCGCATGTTGGCTCTCATGGCAAAGGACTTCTGGCAATTCTGCCTTCGCAACAGCATTTCCGTGCAGGCGGAACATATTCCGGGTCTGGACAACTCAACGGCCGATTGGAACTCACGCTATTTGAGAGATTCTGGAGATTGGCGCTTGCACGCTACGGCCTTCCGAGGTCTGGACCACATTTGGGGCCCATTCGACATGGACCTTTTCGCGTCCTGTCTCAACGCGCAAGTGCCCAAGTTCTTCAGCTGGAGACCAGATCCGGCGGCAATAGCAACGGATGCGTTCCTTCAAGATTGGCCGAAGACTCGGCTCTACGCTTTTCCCCCGTTCAATATGATAGCTCGCACGCTGTCGAAACTGACGCAACACGGCGGCTCGTTGGTACTGATCACACCACTATGGCGGTCTCGGCCTTGGTTCCCTCGGCTGCTGGAACTGACAGCGGATTACCCACGCCTGATTCCGTCCTTCCCGAATCTCCTGAGGGATCCGGATGGCAACTCGCACGAGTTGGTGGATCGCGGCCTCCTACACCTGATCGCATGGCCTCTTTCAGGGGACCCTGGTCTATCACAGGGGTTCCGCAATCAACTCTCGACCTCCTTGACAGTGCATGGGCACCAGGTACTCGAGTGGCGTACCGATCCGCCTGGAGAATATGGTCTAGTTGGTGCGTGGAACGGTCAGTGGATCCTGTATCTGCCCCTTTACATGTGATCATGGAATTCCTTACTGAGATGTTTGAATCTGGGAAGGCGTACCGCACCATTAATCTATGCCGATCCGCTATATCAGCTGGACACCAAGGCTTGGACGGTTCGCCCGTAGGACGTCACCCCTTTGTATGCCGACTGCTCAAGGGGATCCGTCTCACCAGGCCGCCCCGTGCGAGATTTACTGCCTTCTGGGATGTGAATGTGGTCCTCCAATTCTTGTCGGCTTGGTATCCAAATCAGGATCTCACACTGAAACAGCTGTCAGCGAAGGTGGTCATGTTGCTATGCCTCATCTCTTGCAAGAGGGTGTCGGATGTTCGGGCACTGGACTGGAATGCCATTGCGTTTACCCCGGAGGGCATCTCCTTTAACATATCCAGGAGAACGAAGTCGGCTTCGAAGGTGTTTGTTTACCCTAGATTCCAGGGAAACCCGGCTCTCTGTCCAGTCGAATGCCTTCAGGCCTACCTCGAGGTTACTCGACCGTTGCGATCCCCGGAACTATGCCCCTTGTTCATCTCGCTTCGAGACCCACACCTTCCGGTGTCTACACCTACGTTGGCGAGATGGGTTCGGGAACTGTTATCTCTGGCCGGGATCGATACGTCCAGATTCACCCCTCATTCAGTCCGTGGAGCTATGGCCTCCAAAGCGGCGGCTATGGGCTGCCGCCTAGAAGATATTCTACGTGCGGCGGATTGGTCACGGGAATCGACCTTTCGTGATTTCTACTTCAGGCCGATTGACCATTTTGCATCTCAAATGGTTTCTAAGCTTTAAACTTGCATAATAGGAGCCTCCGTGTCTTTAATAAAATTCCCAGATTTTACTATTAACATGACGTAAAGTCATGATTTTATTAAAGACACGGAGGCGAGTATTATTCCCACCCACCCACCCGGTTGGGGTTGGGCATTGGCTGGTATGGTGGGTAAGTATGATTTATTCGTTATTAGAAGTTTTTGATTGTATGTGTTATAGCTGACGTTTCTTTGTATTGGGGTTACATTTATGCTCCCTATAACTGTATTACCGTATTTGGGGGTGTAGAGTTTGGGTTTGACGTACTGTGTTATTTATTATAGTTATGCACATACAGTTGGAGTCCAGTTATTACCTTCTTTTTTTTCTGTGTCTCCTTTAGCCTGAATTCTTCGTGATTTGCCATATTGGAGCTGCGGTTGGCTACGTTAGTCGAAGTTGGATGTTCTGTATTTGGTCTTCGTTATCCGCAAGAAAGAGGGGGATTGGTTACTTGAACACTGTATTTTTTTGTTCTTTCAGTTATTTATTTATCTCTATTTCTTTGCTGCTGAGAGTAATAAAGAAAGAGATATGCATAATACTCGCCTCCGTGTCTTTAATAAAATCATGACTTTACGTCATGTTAATAGTAAAATCTGGGAATTTTCTATCAAATATTAAGATATGCTTTATAAATAAAACATATGGGGTTGTTTAAAATCGAAACTGTTTAGTTTTTGCAAATCAGAGAAGTATTCCTAATAGTAATATTTCTAATTCCTCTGGTTTAATTCACAGTGATGCAAGGTTGCTCCGTTTTCATAACTTCTATATTCAATCCTATAATAAGTCGATTTAAACAGACACTAAAGTCCATTTAGGATATATTTCGATGGAGAGTGAGCAAAATTTGATCCTACATAAAGGCTTTTTTTTGTTCACATTCTTTGCGGAAGACTACTGGTACCCAATCCCAATCTTCAGCCTGCAGTGTAATATCTTTATACATTCTAAATATTTCATAATGGTTCTCCAGGTGCAGCATCCCAGTATTAGACAGAAACAGGGCCGGACTGGGAAGATAATTCGGCCCGGGCATTTTTTAATTACAGCGGCCCACTACAAAGGGGGCGGGGCCAGATAGGGTGTGTGCTGTGCATGTCAGGGGTGCAGTGTGTGGGTGCTGTAAGTGTTAGGGGTGCAGTGTCTGTGTGTGTGTGTGTGAGGGTGCTATAAGTGTTAGGTGTGCAGTGTGTGTGTGTGAGTGAGGGTGATGTGAGTGTGTGTGTGTGTGCTGTGTCAGGGGTGCAGTGTGTGTGAGTGAGGGTGCTGTTCATGTCAGGGGTGCAGTGTGTGTGTGTGTGTGTGTGCTGTGAGTGTCAGCGGTGCAGTGTGTGTGTGCTGTGAGTCTCAGGGGTGCAGTGTGTGTGTGTGAGGGTTCTGTAAGTGTTAGGTGTGCAGTGTGTGTGTGTGAGTGAGGGTGATGTGAGTGTGTGTGTGTGCTGTGTCAGGGGTGCAGTGTGTGTGAGTGAGGGTGCTGTGCATGTCAGGGGTGCAGTGTGTGTGTGGGTGCTGTGAGTGTGGTGCAGTGTGTGTGTGCTGTGAGTCTCAGGGGTGCAGTGTGTGTGTGTGAGGGTGCTGTGAGAGTGTCCAGGGGTGCAGTGTGAGTAGTAGTGAGCCTGTAGAGTGTCCCAGGGGGTGCAGTGTGTGTGTGTATGTGAGAGTGTCAGAGTTACAGATGTGTGTGTGAGTATACTGTGAGAGTGTCATGGTGAGTGTCGTAATGTAATGCTTTCTTAAGAATTAATCAATGATTACCCAGTGTGCTGTGAGTGTCAGGGGTGCAGTGTGTGTGTGTGTGTGTGTGAGTGTCAGGGGTGCAGTGTGTGTGTGTGTGTGAGTGTCAGGGGTGCAGTGTGTGTGTGTGTGAATGAGGGTGCTGTGAGTGTTAGGGGTGTCTGTGAGGCTGATGTTAGTTAGGTGATTATTTCCCCCCTCCCTGCTTACCTTTAGCCTGGGAGGGGGATCCTGCTGCTGGGGCTGCCATCCATCCCTGGTGGTCTTAGTGGTGAGTGAACTCTAGCCTGTAAGGCTAGAGTTCACTCTCGCGAGACCCGGAGCGTTGCCATGGCAACGCTCCGAATCTCGCGAGAGGAACCCGGCGGAGCTGTTAGTTAAAGCTCCGCTGGGTTCCTCTCCTGGCAGGCTGGCTCCCTCCCTCTCTCTCCCCGGCGGCCGCACTATCCTGCATGTGGGCCGGTGGGGAGATCTCTGATCTCCCCACCGGCCCTCCATGGACTACTGCAGGGCCGGCGTTCAGATAGCGCCGGCCCTGCAAAGACCGTCAGGAGAGATCATGTGATCTCCCTGCCGGCCTCGGCCCCACGGCCACCGCGGCCCACCGGGCATTTGCCCGGTGTGCCCGATGGCCAGTCCGGGCCTGGACAGAAAGTAAAGTGAATTGAATAACTGAAACCCCACGCAAATAATAATATAATTTATTGTGGCTCCATTTAGGTTCCCCACACAGGAATTTGATTTCTTTTGAAACATTGTCACCAATATGATCCTCAAAAATCAGCAGTCTTCTTTTTTTTTTTATTACACAGTATCTGACACCTAGGATGCCTCTATATAGCGTTAATAGTAAATAAAGGAATCACATAAAAACTTTTACAATATCATGTCCTATTTACATGTGCAAAATATGCAGTACAGTACATTCACAGGTCATCTGAGACCGAATAGTAAATCTATTAGTAGAATCAGTCCAACATCTGCTCCTGTCTCAGCACCTCCATCATCTGTTCCGTGACCAGGTCTATGGGGCGCTTCCCATATTTGTCAAGGGGTTCAGTGATACTGGCACCGGCTTTGCACAAGACTATTAGAGTGTCTACAAATCCTTCTCTGGCTGCATCGTGAGCTGGGCTTGTGCCAGTGTCCGGATCTTGGATAGAAGGGTATGCACCATAACTTATTAAGAGCTCAGCCATTTTGGTGCAGCCCATCATCATCACCTTTAACAAAACAAAGAAAGAAAAAAAAGAAGCAAAACAAGAGAAAATTATTAATCATTCAATTGTTATATCATTAGATTTTCATACCAGCAATATTAAAAATATATTTGTCAACAGCATTATTAAATTCAGAAGCCATATATCGCATAGCTAACACTCCATATCATACGAGTAATAGACAGCCATTCTTGGAACTTTGTCATGAAATACCTGATATTACACACACAGTTTATTTACCTACCCTGAATATATTACACAAAATAATGCGTATAAATTACAAATAGATGGAAGTGAGCATAATGTTTAACATTAATGGATTCGTATTTAATGTAATGTTCTATTTGCACATACAATACGAATATCTAGCAATAAGGTATTTGTTCTACAATTTGTTTCAGCTTGGTGTATACATCCTGCAACATCAATCTGCAAAAAAATGTCTAATAAAAACATGGTTATTTTAGTCAAAATGTTACAATTAAAAGTTTCAGTTCCCTACAATTTGCTTTTTACTGAATGATCTTCTTTGGTTTAATATTGGCAATTCAACGTCAAAATTAATTTCAAGGTTTAGGGCAACAGACTCTAGCTGTAAAATTATAAGGCAGACCTTGTTTTCAGTTCAACTACTTTGGGTTAAAATTTGGAATTCATCTTGAATTCACATTGATTTCTCCCCCCCTAATCCCCCCCCTCCCCTAAAAAAATCATGTTAGAGAAAAATCCTGTGTGAGCTAGGGTCAGCTGCCAAAGTTCACATTATCGGCTGTCAGTGTAATGAGATAATAAATCCCCCAGTATGACTGTGCTGTGTACTGTCCTGCATTGCTTCCATGATCATTTACACTTTAATAATGTAATAAAGGAAACTAACCATGTGGATTCAAATGACAACATATGGTAAAATATGTTGCAATTACTCCCCCCACAATAAGAATGTAACTGCGTTTAACTGATTTGTAAACGGTTACACATTGTAATCTCTTTAACTAATGTCTGCACAGATTAATGCCATCACTATACTGCAGGAGCGGTGCATTCTTGCAATACCTTATATTTTTTTTATATTATTTTTATTAGTGTATTATTATATTATATTTTGTCTGATATATTCTTATAGTTTTTTATATTTTAGTGGATAAAGATGAGAAAATTATTTATCGATTGATTTAACAAGCTATGAAAGATTATTTAGTTTGTTTTTAGAGTTTAATCAATGTTAGTGCTGCATAGCAACGTTTTTTTAAACAACATATATATATATTTTTAAAAAATCTATATTTTGCTTTGACTTTTATTTTAATCACACATATGTATATTTAAGCATAATATTTGCATATAGTTATCTATATTATATATTAAACAAATATATTGGCACACACAAATATTTGCGTACATATACACCCACCCACGTATATACATTTTACATTAATACATTTTTTTAAATGAGTGTTTATATTTTACGTATAAATGTATCTAGACACCCAGCATTATAAATATATATAGAGAAGAAGAAATAAAACAACCACTACATTTAGATACTAAGAGAAACATATATGGCACGTTATAATATTTTCATTTATTATTATTATTATTATTATTGTTATTATTATTGTTATTACTACTATTTATGTAGCGCAAATGAATCTCTGCCTTATCCCATGCTGATAATAAAATAGATACAAATATAAAATTACCATTTTTCAATGTTTCTTTATATTAGATAAATACAGATAGCTACTGTAAATTAAAATATATTTTTATTCAAATATATTAGATAAAAAACAAAACACAACTGACTATACATTAAAAATGCTTATCAATCTATCATAGGAAAATACAAGAAACAATTTTAGATCTACTTTCATTTTCCTGTTCTGGTTTTAGCTATGTATTGATTCCAGGAAATGTCCTTGTTATTACAATTCTAGTTACAGTAATTATTTAACATGTTCATGCAAATTCTATTGAATATACATTAGGGATGTCTAGCATCAATCATCAATATCTTACTTAAATTACTTTTAAAGAAATATGTCATTAGAGCCTACCCAAAGCCATGCTCTGCAAAACATTATGGATACATATTACATTATTATATATACCAAGGAAATATGCGAATATATAAGGACGCTGTGTAATAATTCTTAAATAGTGGTAAAGATGTATTCACTAAACAGCGATACTCGACTTTAGAACGATGTATAGCCCCATTTCATTTACAAGGGAGATTTTGTGAACTCTCAGTTTCAACTCACCATATATTGCAAACTGACATGTACGTACTGTAGGTTCACAATAAAGTATTCAGTGAAATATAAATAGCATCTCATCTAACATTTCTATGTTTAATGTTGTTTACCAATACGTAGCGCATATCAATGCTACATAACACACCGCTATATCCATTCTGTATCAATTGTACTTGTTACGTATCAGATAAATAGTATATGTAGTTCCTCAGTATACATACATATATATATGGGTCTTGAGAAAAGTCTGTGACTGAAACGTCGACATTTTTGTATTCTGCACAATAAAGCAGTATTTATTTTGATATAAAACAAAGACTCCAGAGTGCTCTCTACTTGGATGATATATATATATATAGATATATATATATATATATATATATATATATCTATATATATATATAGAATCTACTCAATTATTAAGCAAGTATCTAATAATTTAAACCATTTCCAAGAGAAAACTATACTGTGTATAATTAAATTAAGTACATCATAATAGAATTCGTATAATAAAGACATGCATTTCTCATTGCTATTGTTATTAGAAGCAAATGGAGGTAGAGGACAAGAATTGAAAATAATTGTTTTTGAGGGAAAAAGCAGATTCCAATGCGTAGGCATATAATTGATAAACATGCAACGCATAAAACACACACACACACACACACAAATATCTGACACACAAAAACACATATTAGATACATATCTGACAAATACACACACACACACCTTATATAAAAAAAGCACACATAAATAATTTACACAGATAGAGAGATAGATACAGACAGACATAATTTACACACACACACACAATCATGCATCAACAGCTCTAGTTTACAGACACACACAGTATGTACATGTTGCACAGCATATATAAATGACTTCAATAAACACACATACCACACCTGAGTCATTTACACACACACACACACACACACCTCTCTATTTATTTGAATTATTTGATATCCTGTTACAATAGCAGTTGTAGACTGGCCCTTGGGTTGGCAAATTATGCAATATTATCCATTTAAAAAAGTTCCTATTGATATGTTTAATGAAGGTACGAGGAAAGTTTGATTTGATGTGAATAGCAGTAATAATAACACAAGCCCGAACCTATTGCCCTGATTCCTTACTGAATATATGGTGCAGTATATAATCCATATTATTTACATTCACATAGTGAACACTATAACTTGGAACTCGCAGGTATTTAAATAAATGGTAAACTAGATTAATGGAAGATGGGATTTAGCGTATTGTTACAAACTATATTGCTCAAAGTAGGAAGGATAGCAAACACTGTCTGTCTGTCTAGATACTGTCCTTCCTGTGTCTGTCTGCCTGCCTATCTCTATAGGCATGCAGTCACAATCTGTCTATGTTTACATTGGTGTAACTTGCTATGTCTCTCTACACCGATATTATTGCTTTGTAGCCTATGCATGTAAATACATGACGTATAGACACATTTAATGTTTCGTTTTTCTCTTCATGACGACACTTCTATTCCAATTAATATTTACCTCTCTGTAATTGTATCTATGGTCTATAGATAAAATATTGTGCTATGCTAACCTGTATAGCTGACATTGCTGCACTGGTAAAATATAAATTGCTGTTTGCACTTATAGAGACCTAGCTGTGATGCACAGCTCTGAACCAGCTATCGGTTTGGGTGATGCCGTACTTGCAGTATACCGGCAGGGTATATTGTCAATAGCTGTCGGTGTACCGGTTTGTATGATGCCGTACTTGCAGTATACCGGCAGGGTATATTGTCAATAGCTGTCGGTGTACCGGTTTGGGTGATGCCGTACTTGCAGTATACCGGCAGGGTATAATGTCTATAGGCAGATCAGCATGATGGAGGTACTCTTTAATTCCCAAGCCCACACTTGGCACTTACCTGGATGGGAGTCCTTCCCAATGAGTTAGGGGCATTAGGGTCAGCTCCCCCCTCCAGCATTTCACTCGCCAGCTGGAGGTCGCCACGAGCCGCTGCATTCGCCAGCTGGTCTGCCGGAGTCGCCATGGAGGCAGGGATCACACAGTGGGTGACAGCAGCGATTACTAATTGGATGGTTTATACCCAAACCCACGGACTTTTAAATGGTTCCCCAGAGGTGAAATGGGAGCATTGTGTTCCAGCAGGTTGATCAGGGATGTCCTCAGGTTTATATATCCTGTGTGTCGTGTGGTGAACTCCTGGAATCACTGTCCATCACACACAGGATGTCCTTGAGATCCTCTCTCTCTCAGGTTTTCCCACGGCAGGGTGTTTCCCCTTCACCTCTCAGCTCTGATCTCCAGTTAAAGTTTCTTGTTCTGACTTGTCCACAAGCACATCAGATACATTGTACAGACTGAGTCACTGGCACACACACACACCCACTCACAGACTAGGGAATTGCTCCCTCTACTGGACATTGCGTGGATTAGCATTGGAAACGTCATATACAATGACTTCATATTTCTTTATTTCTATATTTTCAATGTATATGTCAATGAGTTAGCTCACTGTTCTTGGAGTAGTTACAGTTTTTGTGCAGGTCCACCGTCCGCCGATGTTGCTGCTTGTTTCTCCTCTCCTGGGTACGTAAAAATTGGCACCACGTAACTTACTAGTTTCGCCCTGGGTGGGCTTTCTCAAAGTCTGTGGATGCTGACTGCCCATCTTGTTTAAATTCCCGTGTACTTGATTACAAATATCCTGCAGGTTCTTCCTATCTGCTTTGTTAACCCCTTCACTTGTGTGTAATCCTGATGTCATTTCCCTTACATCTTATCAGTTTCATTTATACATGTTTTTTTTTAAATGTCTGCTTTACCTATAGATCTTATGGGTACATGTTCATTAACCCTTTCACATGCATAAAATCAAAGTTTTATCTTGTTTTTATCTTATTAATTCTTTTTATACAGGATTTCATGGATATCTTATATAAAGCTTATAAGTACATATATATAAACAATAACATTTATTTGTTCTGTCTGTCTATAATTAAGTATTATTATATATGTATATCATTTAAAATATGATTTCTAATTTTAATTGGGTAAACTTTCCAAGATGGTAATTCCCTTAATGTAAAAATAAATTTTCTAAAAAGGATACTATAAAACGTTTCCTAAATAATTACTGCACATTTTTTAAAATCACATGATTTTCTTTCCTCTATGCCCTTTCTTGGAAAAGTAATGTATATTCAATTCTATCACTTACAGGTCACAGACCTATACTTTTTCTTAAAGGTGCATTCCTATTCAGAATTATTTTCCTTTTCTTTTTAAATTTTTTTTTTTTTAATATAAAAATTAAAATTGAATATCTGAAAGGTTCCCAATTTTTGTATTTTATGTGGATCTACTCCAGAAAATGTGTAAGTTCAAAATCGATATTTAAACCATTGGGCCTTAAAGCCCCCAGCTTAACTATCCAATGCATCTCCCGAATTGCCAGTTTTCTTGTATAGTCTCCTCCTCTTTCACTTGTTTCAATTCCACAGAAGTTCAGTTGACTTGGATCCATTCCATGTCTCGACTTAAAGTGTGTTGAGACGCTGTGTCCTTCAAATCTCCTCCTTATATCATATATATGTTCGTATAATCTTTTCTTTAACATTCTCTCAGTTCGTCCAATATATTGCAATTCACATGTACAATATATTACCCCTTTGGTGTTACAAGTGATAATATTTTTTATTTTGAACTCTTCTCCTGTGTGGTATGGTTTGAAATCTGTACATTTTCTATTAGTTTTAGCACTCACTCGACAAGCGTTGCATGTTCCACATTTGTAGAAGCCATTCTGTAAGTTAAAGGGATTCTCTATCGATTTTGGAAAAGTAATGTATATTCAATTCTATCACTTACAGTTCAAAGATCTATACTTTTTCTTAAAGGTGCATTCCTATTCAGAATTATTTTCGTTGCATGTTCCACATTTGTAGAAGCCATTTTGTAAGTTAAAGGGATTCTCTATCGATCTTATTCTTTTCTCTGGTAATTGACTCGGGGCTAACATAGATTTCAGGATTGATGCCCCTCTGAAGACTATTTTTGGTTTGTCTGGTAGTATGTTGTAGACTACTTCATCCCGTCTTAAAACTGGCCACCATTTATTCACGATTTTCTTAATTTCTTGTGCTTGGTTATTGTAGTTAAAAATAATCGAGATCTCCATATCTTCCTGTATTTCACCTTCTTTGTTTTTATATTCAAGAAGATCATCTCTCTTCATTTTCATAGCCTCTTCCAGGGCTTCTTCTACATTTTCTTCATCATAATCCTTTTCCAGAAATCTTCTTTTTAAGAAGTCGGCTTGTTTGATAAAATCGTCAACTTTCGGGCAGTTTCTTTTTACTCTTGTAAATTGATTTTTTGGGATATTTGCCAACCACGGATGATGGTGGCAACTGGTCTTTAGAATGTAATTGTTGACGTCTATCTTCTTAAAAAAGGCCTTGGTCTTCAAATGCCCTTCATTTATGAAGATTTCTAGATCTAAGAATTATCTATAGAATTATTCTTTTGTATTACTAATGAGAAAGGGATGACCTTCAGAAAGCTTATAATTCTCTATCTATCGTTCTGTCTGTCTATAATTAAGTATTATATATATATATATATATATATATATATAAAAAATAGAAAAAATCTTGCACTCCACCTTTCTCAGTGTTCAATGCCCGGTGCTTGTCAGCCAAAACACAAAGAAATTCCAAAGATAGCACTCCAGGGACTTATAAAAATTAACTTTTATTACCTTTTGCTAAAACATCCAAAGTGACACTTTGGATGTTTTAGCAAAAGGTAATAAAAGTTAATTTTTATAAGTCCCTGGAGTGCTATCTTTGGAATTTCTTTATATATATATAATATATATATATATATATATATATATAGACACTCCACTGCCCAAAAAAATAAACCACTGTGTAGGAGATATACCCCAAATTAAAACCTGTTTCATTATGTATTTTTTGTATTGGGGGTATATCTAAAAACAGCTTGAAAAAGCTGCAGATCAGTTGTCTCCTTCCTTTACAAGCTCTCCACTTCTAACCCAGTCCAATTAAACGCTGCCCAATGCAGCTCAATGAGAAGTCTTTGCAAGACAGATGTTCTGAGTAATTGCTGCCTCTTAAGTTTATCTCCACTGAGCTTGCTAAAGTAGGAAGTATCAGTGCCACTTGTCTGATTGACAGTCAGGGGCTGTAATCAGGTTAATTGTAAAAGTGCCAATTTTTATTGAAATCTGTACTTTTTGTAAAATGAAAAAAGAGAACACACTCTTCACATGTAAACCACTTTAGCAAGATAATGTGCTTTAGGGAGCTGGAGTGTCTCTTAAATATTGTATTAATATGATGTTACCTCTTGTAAACATAAGAAAAGATTGAGCATTTGATTTCTGACAGGTCTTTTTAACCCCCCACAATTATGTCCCACTCATAATACTGTGCAAATATTCACACATATTTTGCCTCACTTTTTACATCAGAATAACATAGGTGGAAAAGAAAGAACACCAAAAACCAAGAACCAAAATATTTTTTGGTGCAAAAAAATTATAATAAGAAAAAAAATAAAGGAGAAAAAAAATATATGAACTAATAGATGGTGTTGTAGAAAATTTAATGTAAAGAAGAAAATGACAGAAAAATTGAAAAAGTAATAACGATTAATATGTAATTGCAATGGAGGTGTTTATATACATTTATATTCCAGAACTTACATACCTTACATACTCATATTTGTTAAATAAACAAAATAAGTAAAAAGAATACTAAATAAACTTGCACTTGATGGACCCTCTTTAAATACAGATAGACATGTTGCCACTTCCATTATCTTCAATAGTGAGAGGGTTAACATGTATTTGAAATTTATTCAACTTACTGTGAATATTATCATTCTCATGCTGCTTACTGTCACGAGGTTAAGAACTATTTGGTTACATTATTTGAATGTTGAAACCTATAGCTTGTTCAGCAATTTGTTCCTCCTGTCTGGAAGCTTGACTTCTATCTTTGACCAACTTTCTATTATTTTGTAACTGTCTAAAAGCTTGACCAGGGTTTTGAAACTGTCTGATGGCTTGATTCCAGTTGGAGAAAGGGAGCAGAAATTGAAAACCCTATTAAACAATGCCTATTATCAGACCTACTAAGTCATGTTACACATGCTTTTCCCTAAGTTCTCCTGACCATCCAACAGAGTGGCACCATCACTAGTGTCTAGAGGGCTGAAGGATAATGCACTGTGAGTGCACAAATATTTGTGCTTGAGCTGCACTTTTGCTGTAATTCAGGGTATTTGAACACTGAGTAAAAAATACAAAACAAATGTAAATATTGATATTTAATAGCTAAACCCCTAATTAATAATTAATACATGTTTGTATTTATTTATGCATGTAGTAATTTGAGATATATCTAAAAGTAAGAACTACAGTAAGAAGCCTCTGAACCTGTGCCTTTTGTATGTGCATGCCTACTCGTGCACAAGCTACCTGCTTGCACCAGTGGTCTGGAGGAACTGAAGGACTCTGGTTTGAAGTCTGTGAGTAGTGGAGAAAGGAGGCACACTCAAGTAGAGCGCCCCTGACACTTCCGTTAGGGGACCAAATGGAAGGAGGAAGCAAACCTCCCTTACTGTCTGATTGACATCCAGGGAGGTGTTTCATAAATGAAATATAAAGGTGCAGATTTCTATGATAAATCAGTACTTTTCTAAATTGTAATTTAAATCTGAAGTGCCTTTTGGGTGTGGAATGGTCCTTTAAACCTATACCAAGGTGCTATAGCACTGCTCACTGTTTAAGGATCCTTGAATTGGCTGCCCATGGACAAAATGAACAACTCAAGTGTTTGTTAACTTGGGATCCTTTTTTAGGGGGGAGACCTAATTATCACCTAAGAGGCCTAATTACAGAGCTGCCTTTGACTATGAAGTTATTACTTGTAGAGTGTTAAGTCATGAAATGCTGCTCACTTTTACAACTGTGGGTCACATAATAGTGTTTAGCAGGCTGGATGTTTAAGACTGTAGGTCCAGGACCTCCGAGAAAAAGCTATGCAAGGTCAAAGGATGATAAAGAGAAGAGAGACATCAAATCCTTGGGAAATCTTTAAAATATGTAAGTGCTTTTTAAAAAGTATGTATTTGAAATGCGTTATCTGTATGATTATCTTTATTCATATTTGATGTCTGTATTAAAACTTGGAGTTTCCCTAACAATGGCACACTTCTGTTAATGTTTGATGTATCTCTTTATTGTATACTTTAAATGTACCTCATTAACTACTATTATCTGTTTACTATTTCTTGCAGTTCTTATTCCCGTAATATACCTTCCATCAGGGTGGATTCAGGACATAAACAGAAAATTACATTTATAGCTGTAAAAAAACACCCACGCAACAGAAATAATTTCTTGGTACTCTGTACAAACATTATGATTCATCATTCGTCTGGTGATATATATCACACAATTTCTGTTAAGGTCGACTTTTAATTTTCAGGTTTCATAAGGAAATACATTTCATAGCGTTGTGGCGTTTGTATAGTTAGCGTATACAATGTATTCAATATAGTTATTAGAGGTTTTTTGCAACCCATGCAAGAGTTTTTCCATATCACATTATTATAATAATGCAGTATAATATAGCCACCCCATTAAACATTGCGAGTAATAAACTTGATATTTGAATGCTGGACAACATTCTAGAACAAGAAGCAATCATAACAAACGTAGCCCCTGTGCTCAAACTCCCACTAGTCCTGACTGGCAGCAATGACTATAGTACTCTTCAGCCCCAATACATACAATAAAAACCCCCAAAAAGTTACTTGCACACTATCCCAAATCTCTATGTACATTTAAATAACAAATTTATTTTTTAGTATCACTCCAATGGCCATATTAGTGCATGGCACCTACCATGTCAAAGCAGAAGCACTTAGGTGAGTCTTTCACTAACAATTGATCTTGCTTCTTTCAGCCAAAGGGCAAAATATCTAATGAGACAGAGAGGGTTGCCTTTCTAAACCCCTACACACTTATTAATACAAAAGCAAATACATGTTACAGTGCTGCCACCCATGTGGCATTAGTAAAATAACTATATGAATTAACCCCCAAGGTTCAACAGCTACACAATACCAATTTGATATGTAATACTGAGGACATTTCAAGCCTTCATTATAAGATCAGGTCTGTGAGTGTGCACGTTGTGTTCACAGCATTGAAAGTCTCTGAAATGATTTGACTTCATGAAATCACTGCAGTTTATTTCAATGGAGTCAGGCTCCATTTATTAATTAGTAGAACACAAAGTATAAGTAACAACATCACTGCCAACATATTTATGCTTATTCTGGGCCAAATCAAGAGATTCCAGATCAACCTTCACCCAAGTCGTCAGACTCCCCAGTGCACTGTGTGAACAACATGTGCTCATGCCAGAGAAACTCTTGGCCAAGTGTTATTAAAGTGAGATTTCCTAGTGATTGCATCTCGAATCTATGGAATGAGCTACTATCAGCTGTAGTGATTTGCCAAATTCATAGTCCAGAATCTGCCCACACCAGGTCATTTTGATTATTCAAATAGAAATAATTTAAATAAGTTAAATTAATAGAGAATTTCAAGTTTTTTTTAAATTTCTCACTATGCAGTGAAAAATAATTATTGTTGATTTAAAAGGAACACTCCACGCACCACAAACACTATTGGGCACTATAGTGGTTATAGTGTTAGGAGTTCTTTGGCACCCACCTATTGTAAGGAATTAAACTGTTTTTGAACAGTTTGACTTCTTACCTGGGGTTCGCTGGGTGCCGCTTAGTGAATCTGCTACCAATGCTGGAGAGCTAGAAGTTCTTATGCAGGAATTCCATTAGCTCTCTTGAGCTATACTCTGCAATAAACGATTAGCTCATTGTCTCAGAGCGTCTGCTTAGGAAATTACAGCTGTCCAGTGCTGGTAGTGGAAGTGGCATTGCGGAGTTATGCATGGCAGACCTTAGGTATTCAAAAATTACGATTCAAAAATAGTTGAGTTTTTACAATGGGGTACTGTACAGGGCACTCCTGGCACAAAAACCACTCCATGAGCTGCAGTGGTTATGGTGCTATTGTGTTCCTAATGAGTAGATAAATGTGAAATAGATAATTTGTGGTTGAATATCTTAATTTAGAAACCATATCAGAATCTGCAATATTGACCAGAATATAGCTGGAAAATAAATTTAGATGTTTTAAGGTGAGAAGGTATACTCTTCATGCCACATTTCATACATGTTACTTGTTTTAAACAACACACTTGACTGCCATCAAGAAATATCCTGTTGTTGATTTAAAGGGATACTCCTAAAACAAGCAAAAAACAATTATATTGTGTTCAAGATCTTGTCAAATACCGCTTTTCCAGTAGTACCAAATACAATAACAAGTAACATAATTCTTCACCCTCAAAACTGGTGCATAACACCATCACCCAGCCTATATTTCTTACTTATATTGCCATCTCAGACTGCACTTTTTAAATAGGGCCACACATCTGCAATGTAACACACAACACAATGGATATGCCATGTTTAATCACTCTATTCATAGTATCTGTATGCAAAATGTATGATCCTTCAAATTGTGTCAACCCCTTCGAAATGAATCAGAATGAGCTCTGAATCTGAAACATTCATAATCAATTTCAAATGGTCTTAAAAAAATACATATTAATCACTACTATATTGTTATTATGTTCATTTACAGAGTTATTTATTAAAAGGAGAATTCAAAGTGAGTTCAAAGGAAATTTCTAATTTAAGGCCACAGCACCCAAACTTGCTTATTTTGATTATTTTTACCTAACATTTGAAATTCCCTTTGAATTCTAACTTTAGTTAATACATTATGACAATATTCCTAGTGCACAAGAAACACACATCCACCCACCAAAATATTTTTTTTATTTAAGTATATATGTGATATGAAAACGGGATGACATATACCAAATATAGAAAAGCAAAGTATAGAAAACTAAAGCCGCAGAGCAAATGTGAATGCATACCTTTCCCAGAATATGCAGAAACAAAATCTGCATGTTACACTGATAAAGCACAGCAATGTGCTGTTTTCCAATACAGAAGGTGCAGTTAGCCTAATATCCAACCTACAATAAAGGCATGCTGCTTGATATCCCTAGTCACTTCAGCTTGCCCAAGACAGTCAAAAATGCGAAGTTAGCAGTGAGGTGGATAATGTGATGTACATTATCCTGAACATCAAAATATGTTGCATATATGATTGAATGCACACATATACTTCAGTCTATAATCAAGGCAAAATCTTTAAGGAGACAGAGAGGGTTACATAATCTAAAGATATTGCTGCCACCCATGTGGCATTAGTAAAATAACTAAATGAATTGAACCCCAAGGTTCTACAGCTGCACAATACCAACTTGTAGCTGGGTCCGGGGCTTACCTAGAGCATTTGGCACCAAGGGCAGATCCTGTGCTTGGCACCCCCTTGCCCCGCTCCCAACGCCAGTTTGGCTCCGCCTCCAATTTTGCTTAGCTCCGCCCCACTTTTCCTCCGTGCGGCCAGTTTATCAGCTGTTTGCTTGTGTGAGCTGTACTGGCCGCACGGCACCCTAACTACCATGGGGCACTGTGCGGCCACAGCTGACACAGCCCCCTCCAGCCAGGGCCGGTGCAAGGATTTTTGCCGCCCTAGGCAAAAGTAAAGTTTGGCGACCCCCCATGTGACATCACAATGCCCCACCCATATGATTTGCCATGTTATCTAAAGCCAGTGCTGCAGTGCCACCGTGTTTACATTAAAAGGCCTGCAGGGACATAGACACCAATTAAGCTGCAGTGGTTCTGGGGACTATAGTGTTTCTTTAATGTGAGGTAAATTAGAGATTAGTGCCACAAATAATATACTAGATTGCCTACTTACAACCAGATGAGGATGATGATGGGCTCTAGCTGCAGTCTGGCTCCACTGGTCTGGTGTAGAACAGGCTCTCTCGAGGCGGTTTGTAACTGTGGTCACAAAAATCAATGTTCTGGGAGAACGGGAAGCAGCTCCATTTTTTGGGGGCCCTTTACACAGCTCAAGGTCTGGGTCCCAGGGTCCACCTTCATGTCCCACCAATGAGTTTGTTCACAGGGGGTGGAGTGTGTAGGGGATGTCCTGATATGTGTTTAAGGAATGCATTGTGTGAATCTGTGTTTTTATGTGTAAGGGCTGCAAGGTGTGTTTCTGTGTATGTACTGGACGCATTGAGTGTGTGTAAGGGGTGCATTGAGTGTGTGTAATGAATGCATTGTGTGTTTCTGTGTGTGTAAGGGATGCATTGTGTGTAACGGTTGCATTGCTTGTGTATGTGTGTCTGTGTGTGTAATGCAGTGTGTGTAATGCATTGTGTGTTTTTCTGTGTGGAAGGGGTGCATTGTGTGTGATGAATGTCAATCTCTCCCTCCTCTTAATTTCCTTCTCTCCACCCCTCCAATTTCCTTCTCCCCCTCCCAATTTCTTTCTTTATCCCCCCTCCCAATTTCTTTCTTTATCCCCCTCTCCAATTTCCTTCTCCCCCTCCCAATTTCTTTCTTTATCCCCCCTCCCAATCTTTCTTTATTCCCCCTCCGATTTCCTTCTCCCCCCTCCCAATTTCTTTCTTTATCCCCCCCTCCAATTTCCTTATCCCCCCTCCCAATCTTT